AGGGTGGCACAGGAGATACCCACCAGAAGCCCAAAAGCCAAAACCTTTCATTGGCATACCACACATGTTAAATCACTGACACCCAACATCTGATGGGCATCCTCTCCCATGAACTCCCATCCCCTTGCCCCCTGGGCCACCAAAGCACACTATGCTCTAAGGCTTTGTGGAAAATATCTGGAAGTGAATGGATGGGTGCTTTGGTCTCCCCCCAAAGGACAGCCCCACAAGGAGGCCCTAGGGATCTAACCAGCATTGCCTGCAAAAACTAAACTTTGGATGGAAATTTCAGACATTTTGAACTCTATTTCTGGGCTTCTTGGATGTTGGAAAGAAATGTTTGCTTTTGTCACATAATCATATTTATACAATCCAATAATTTCCCCAAACTTAATAAAGCATTAGTAAAGAATTGTAAATACATGTGCTTTAAAGAACACATAATTGGAAACAAGAGCCAGCCTCCCTCATGCAGGACCAGGGAGCCTTGCTCCCCTGCTGCCTGCTCTTGCTCTCCAGAGATTTTTCAAGGCAAAGGAAACTGCTTCCTGCAAACTTTCTCCTCCACAGTTCCACACACAGCAGCAGTGTCCTCTGCCTCCTCCTTTGCTGGGAGGATGCACCAGACAGGGAAATGCCAACAATGTCTGGGATTGGGAGAAGAACATCTCCTTTGGCGTGCTGTGCATACATACATACATGCACACACACACACACACACCATTCCAAGTTTGGAGACTTTTATGAAATTGAGTTTGACACCCCTGCTCTAAATTTGTATATTTGTATATGGTTTGTCTCAGTGGGTTGCCCCCGTTTGGACCGGTTTGCAAGAACCAGTAGTAAAACTGGCGGGAGGCTTAGTCCACTGCCCTGGATATCATTATAAGCGATCTGCACATGCGCAGAAGTGTGTGTGTGCGAGTGAGCATGCATGTGCAATCCCACTGAGAACTGATAGTAAAGGTAAGTAGAACCCATCCCTGGTTTGTCTGAAGCTTAACATACTGCATAAAAGCAGGCCTTTAAATTTATTTTATACACACTTTCTCTAAAACTTTTTACTCTGCCTCAGATATTGTTCATGTCACCTAAAGTAGCATTTTCAGCCTCCCAATGAGTTGGACCAGAGCTTCCGTTATTCCAGTTAGCAGCTATTGGCGAATTGCTCTAAGGGGAACAAAAGAAGCAATACAAAGACACTTTGAAAGCCTCCTTCAAGTCCCTGGATATCGACACCACCTCCTGGGAAACCCTGGCACAAGATTAATCAACATGGCGCACGCTGATCCACCAAGGCTGCCAGACATCAGAGGACAGAAGAATAACCATAGCACAAGAGAAGCGAGCACTCCACAAAGCCAGAACTGCAATGCTGCAACAATCGTGCCCACACATGTCTGCCCTGGCAGAACATTTTGTGCCCATATAGGCCTTACCAGCCACCTGCAGACACATCGTGGGTAGCCCACAACCTGTTAGATGTCAAGGTCCTCTTCGAATACAATAGACGAATATCATCATTGACGAGTTGGAGAGTAGAAGTTGAACGGCCTGAATTAATATATTCTTTTCTTTATTGTGAACATATTTATCTGCTCTACACTTTTACTTTTTCTTCCCAATGCATTTAATTTAATGCTTCCACATACCCTTTCTCTGGGCCTTGTTATCTATTTGCCTTTGTAGAAACTTTGTTTTTATCCACATCATAAATCACAAAATGATTTAATCCCCTGGCTCCTCTCATCTTTCCTGCATCAATGGAACTCCTGGCTCATTTTGTTGGCTTATTTACATTGCTGATATTTATGCTTACGCCAATATTTTCCAGTTGACTTATTCCTTCACTGAATCTCCCATTTCTGGGGCACATTATTGTTGATTGTTTCTGAGAACCAACTTTAGCCATAATTTAGGTGATTTTTTCATATCACACCTAAATTAATTCTAAATCTTACTTTTAACCAGATTATAAACAGATTATAGTCATTGATTATAAACACTCTTGCATTTTAGAAACAATAAGTACTGTTAATTTTAGTTCAAAAATCCTGAATGAGAAGCCCCTTTTTAATGCAATTGTAGTAATTGCATCTGCTACAGTTTATAAACTATGATGGGTTGATTAACATACTAAAATAGTTACAGATGTTTTGTATGATATTTTAACCAAACTTTATCTGAAAGACAGAGAATTTGTGTTTCATAGTATAGGAATCCCTCCCACCCGCCCTCTGAGAATGAAATATTTTGGGGAATATTAAGAAGCAAAACATCATACTTCCCCAAAGGAGGAAAGGAGAAACATGTTTTTATAGCCAGTCTTTCTTAATGTGCCTATTCACAAACAAAACACACCTTCACCTCCAGTGATGGGATTAAAATTTACTTCCTTCTCCACCCAAATTCTAAGACCAGGACGTGATCTTTAGGAAATAATATGATTAAGCCGCCACCATTAGAATAGCAAACGACACAGAGCTCACTACATTGCACAACTCATAGGGGCATTTCAGACATTGCACAACCCTCAGCAGCATCCACTGATTCAACCAGTTAATCAGCTGCCCCAGAAATGCATGCTGTTGGTGGTTCTGGTCAACATAAATAAATGGACCTACTTTCCTAAGTAGCTAGCCTCTATTTTATTTCCAGTGCCCCTTTCCCGGCTTGGAACTGAACAGATTGATTTTTCTTTCAACAATAGATAATATCCTATGTCAATCCAAGAAATTCATGTGAAAATTTATAGAGAAAGTTGATGGAAAAAGAATGGAAGGAGCCCATTCCGCGATTTGCAGCTTCTGTTAAACTCTGCAGAAAGCACCAAGAGATTGGAATGTTTAGAAATCTACTGTATTAAAAATCTGTGAGAAGTGAAGAATTCAGCCTTTGTAAAATAAATTATCAAGATCTTTCTTCTCTCTCTTCCTAGGCAACTGAATAGTCATTTTCACAGTTAGACCCTGTAGGAGAAAAGAAGATCTTGTGTGATTTTAACATGGAAGGAGAATAGCAGATTATTGACAAAGATTCTGTTTCCTTTTTGTTGATCTAGAAAGTTATCCTCTTCTCTCCTAAGCACATTATCCAGACTGGAGATTGTTTCTTCTTGTTTTTAGAGCATTTGGGTGGTGAAGCTACCAAATGCAAGCTACCAATAGAAGATAGCACTCTTCCAAAAAAAAGACTAATTGCCTACTTATAATGAATAATGATTGAGTGGATAGTATTATTTTTATATTTTTCTAATAAATTACTTACTAATAGAAATAGAAATATACTTGGCCCCATATATTTTTTTCACAAAGAGCAAATATTTTCAATAAAATAGATAACAGCTTTCTATCATAAATATCCAATAGGGCGATTATTTCCCCCACACCCACACCCAGTTCATTGCAAATTGAGGGAATGGGCTACTAAGAATAGTGGAAACTATTGAACAGAAAGAGATGCACATACTGCTATTGAAAAGTATGGATGCCCTTGTGATTAGGCTTGGTAAAGTCAATTGGGCTGAAATCCCCTCTTGTAACATCTTTTCTCCCTTTCCAGTTACATTTTCCTTTCCTTTCTCCAAGCTTTTCCCTCACCTTTCTCTCCAGTCTAGCTCCCCTGTTGTCCTCTATTGTCCTCTTTTTCTTGTCAGGATTAAGAAAGAATTGTATGGGGGTGCTAGGGTCTGTATGCTTGTGTTTATGTGTGTGAGAGAAGTTTTTCGATATACGAATTGTCAGGGATATAGATCAGTCAATGTTTAAATGGAGGCAATCTATTATGCAGGCAAGTAATTTAAATTAGTCATTAAATTAAGTCCTTAATTATTTATTTCTGTGCTGGCTTTTCCTTTTCTTCAAAGGTTAATTCTGGGGAGGTATGTGTATCAAAAGCAATTATAGGAAAATGATGAGCATGTGATGATTTAATCACCCCAAAGCCACCGGCAATCATTTACTAGTTAGGACATTTGATAAAATGGTGTTTCTGTTTGCCATGGCACTTAAATGCACATACCATCATCATGTTCCCTCTTCTCCACAAATATCCCTGAGATAAATATGAAACCAGGAGGGATTGCTTTTCAGTATAACTGATTTTTTGGAAAAGTCTTCCTTTGGAAATCAGGCTGATGTCCCAGATTTTATTCAGACATTTAAATTACTTTGGGTCACTTTTGCTGTTACTGCTTTTTTTTTTTTCTTCCTGAGTTGTCATTTTTAATATTCTCAAGGTTGATTTTATGTTTCTTAGATTTACCATGACTATTGTAAATTGTCCCACAGATGTACTTATCATATAAACTCCCAGGATTTGGGCTGCTTGTAATGTGACACAAATACAATAAATAAACTTTGGGTGAAGGAAGACAGCTGTGTGTTTCACAGGAATTTATGTTTATCTACGGATGATTATCTTAGGTGCACTATTGAAGGCCAACTCTGTCCACAATTGGAATTTGATCATGAACGGCTCAGAATTTCCTCAGCATTCCATCCTTTCAAGGTTGGTAAAATGAGGACCCAGACTGTTAGGGGCAATATGCTGACATTGTAAACTGCCCAGAGAGTGCTGTGAAGCACTATGGGGAGGTATATAAGCTAAAGTCCTACTACTTTCCTTCCTCAGCTGCATATTCCCCTTTTTTTCTAGCTATAAGTAATGTGTAGTAATTTGTTTTAGTAGCTGGAGAATGATAGCCAGGCCTTACAATCTGATTTTCCAGTGGAAGCAGATGGTATTCCCTACTGTGACTCTGATCCAAAAACATTAATCACAAATATCTGTGTGATCTCATAAAATCAACTCATTACTTATAAAAGAGGCCACTACCTATATGGTTGTCATGGTTCTGAGAATTCTATGATGTCGGGAATCATGGTAAACTGATATCACAAAAGTGGCATTGTCCTGCAGCCTCCATATGGAATAACATGTGGTTGCTTGGTAACTGCATAGAATCATTTCAATTGTTGGCTGCAATATTCCAAGGCATCCCTCACTTGAGTAAAATGAGCAAGAGTATCATGAGATGTGTTGCCCCCTTGGTGACCCAAATTTTCCTGGTTGAAATTCTGGTATTTTTTGAAAGATTGGATGGATTCATACTTCCAAGCCCAGCCTCAAACATTAATTGCAAAGGGAATACCATTTCTCCTGGTTATGACAATGTGCATATTCAGGAGACAATTGGTCATTCCATTGAATTTCTTAGGTCATCAATTTTAAAATTATGGAGTAGATTAACTAAATCAAACCCTCATGAATATTTAGATGAAAAGGGATCTCATGAAATTCTGCTGAAAAAACTGTACAAATCATCCAATGTCCTACAAGTGACACCCAAAGCAAAAATAACCAAAAAGGAAGAGATTCAAGAGTTGGAAGTCCAAAAGGATTTAACTACAGAAATGTTGGAAGTTTCTAGGGACATCAGCCTGAGGACTAAAAGCTATCTAGAAGGGTTAAAGAACCATCAGAATATGGTACAGAGAGATCATTGGCTTCAAAAAAATCCAAGAAAAAAAGACTTAACTGTTAGGTTACCAATAAAGAGGCGAGGATTAGCAAAAACCACAGGAAAACTTGCAGAAGATCAAGTAAAACATAATTCACATACAATAGCTGAAAAACGGTGGAAACTTGCAGGGCGACAAGTGCTTCTGGCTACCAAAGCAAAAATTGCAGAAAACAAAGAGAAAACTCGTGAGTTGGATATCCCGAAGGAAGTAGTTAAAGAAATTTCAGAAACTTCCAGTGAAATAAGGCTCAGGACTAAAAACCCTTTGAAAAGATTAAAGTGGTATCAAAGAAAAATACAGCAAGATCAGGAGGGTGGAAAAAATTCAAGGGAAAAGGATTTTTTTCTTTGTTTGGTAAGAAATGGTCTACAATTTGCAGAAACCATTGGAAAACCGCTACGAGAGCAAGAAAAAAGTGCTTCACATAAAATGGTTCAACAATGGTGGATCTCTGCAGGGCGACAAGTAGCTCTGAAGGTTAAGAGATGGCCGAAGATGATGCTCAAAGAAAAAATAAGAAGACACAAAGAGAAAGCTCCAGTGTTGGATATTAGAAAGGAAGTGTCTACAGAAGTTTCAGAAGCTCTGAAGGTTAAAAGGTGGCCAAAGGTGACTCCCAAAGAAATAAGAAGAAACAAAGAGAAAACCTCCAAGTTTGAGATCCAAATGGAAGTGGCTATTGATATTTCAGAAGGTCTGAAGGTTAAGAGGTGGCCGAAGGTGACTCTCAAAGAAAAAATAAGAGAAAACAAAGAGAAAACTCCAGAGTTGAAGATCCAAATGGAATCCCTTAACAGGTTTCCTGAAACATCAGTTCACTCCTTACAGAAACGCTCCATTTTACATCTTCCGACTAAGCTGCCCACTTTGACTTCTTCTATTATGGTGGATGATGGTGGTGAGGAACAGCCTGGTAAAGTGGTCTTTATTCTGAAATCTGGCAACAGGTCAGCAAGGCCCAGCCATGTAAAGCACTTTGTAATCAGCAAACAGGCAAAAGAGAAAAACACTCAGAACAAACAAATAACTGACAAACTTTTGGAGAAGGAACTTTCGGAGAAAGAAGAAGACTCAGGAAGAAAGGAAAATCTTCTCAAACACTTAATGATTAGAGGAAGCAAGCACAGAATTACTACTAAGGGGTCTGAAACTTTGAACAAACTGTTGCCTGATGAGACATATTGGGAGCATCATGGACACTTTACCTCTGCTCCACCTTCATTTGATTTTTTGTCAACCACTAATAATTTTCTTCTTCGGCGTTATGCCTTTGAATCTGAGTGGCAAAAAAGATTGGCAACTATCTTTCCCAATGAGGCTGTCAGGAACACATTTGTCAGGTTTATGCGTGTCCTCAAAATAGACTGCAAAGAACCCAATATCCAGAAGTCTTGTCCTGAACTGTTCAATACAATTGGTTTTTTCCTGACAAAATTTGTTAGATCAGCAGATTTGAAGAGGTTATCTGCTCTGAGGAAGTTTCCATTTTTGCCGGCTAAAAATGAAAACAATATTCCTACAGCAAGCTCCAGAAAAATGAAGAAGCCCCCTAATAAGGTAAAATCAATCTAGATAAGTAGTCCTAACAAGTGCACTCTTAGGAGTCTGACCAAGACTTGATTACTTAGAAATGTCTCCTTTTTTTCTTTCCAGGAGACCAAATTGGTGTAAATTATTTGCACATTCATTTCTGTAAAAGCAGTTACTGTTCTAGAGTAAAACCCCTTTTAGATGGCTTATAGTAATGTGCAAACACCATTTCTCTGTATGATTCCCATGTCTATTCTCAAGCAAAAGCGACATGTGTATTTATGTAAAGTTCTTACAGATGCTAATCAGCATCTGGGGAGAGTGGCATATAGCACAAAGGTAAAGTAACTGAAATGTGAAAACTAAGAAAAGCAGAATGGGGTTCACCAGAATTAAAACAGAGATTTCAGATAAAATTATATGGTTTTAAGAAAACTGGATTGGTAGAACTGTTTTTAAAGGGTAAGTAGACCCAAATATATGGCACTTTTTTTCCCCCCTGGGGAAAGGACCTTTTTATGGATTGAAAGAATTGCAAGAGTCTGCAATATCTTTTGTGTAACAATGATAACTGGTCTTTAAAGAAAAAAGATTTACCGAACAATGGTAGAGTCAAATGTTTCCTGCACAAGATGATGGTGGGCCATTGTCTCTGGCTGGTTTTATCAATTTAATTTCTGTTTTTGAATTTTGACACACTATTTTAAAGGGACAAAATGGATGCTGTAATAAACATCTAAATTCTTTTTAATAGTAAATTTGACAAAAGTTTCCTAAACAGTAGGTAAAAATGAAACTTGAACAATAATATACAGTACATATCTCTATTCAAACAATAATAAATAAGGTTTACTTTAGTTGAGATTTTTGTAATAATCCATATACAGCATTGTACATAAAGAAATAATCACCGCTTGTTTACCTAATTCCTGGCTACTTTTTAAAAAATATTTTTTACCCTGACACATATGTTTTCTCCCATGTCCTAGCAGCAACAATACTTTTCCCATCTATATTTATAGTAAGTAAACCACTTTAGTAAGTGGTTTATGAACATTTTGTTAATGTTTTATAAACTTATTTTTAATAAAATATATGATTTGTGTGTTCACTGTAATAATTCCAAAGTGGGTTTATTATGAACTTGCATTTTTAAGATTCTGCCTATTTTTTCTGATATAATCCAATGGGTTTTTTGTCAGTTTTTGTGGAGCTAATAGATGCTTTGGCATACAGACTTCTGACTCTTCCATCTGTCTGGTATTCAGCAGACAAGATAGATGGGGAAAACTTGCCAAGGAAAATTACAAGACTGCATGGAGGGGAACAAAAGTTCTGAAACTTGCCTTTGTCTTGTCTTGAGTTTACTATGAATTGGTAAGGGCCTCTGGTATGGCAAAGTATAAATGAATAATAAATCAGGATTCTAAGTTCAAGATAATAAAACATAATTAAAAACATGTTATGGATTAGTACAGTATCTTCAAGAAATGGGTTTCGATTATAGTTATTGCTAAATTTTTATATTGGGATATGGGCTAAGACCGTGATGGCGAACCTATGGCACGCATGCCACAGATGGCACACAGAGCCATATTGGTGGGCACGCGAACTCAGCTCCAGTGTGCATGCGCGCGCTGGCCAACTGATTTTCAGGCCTTCTGGGCCAACCAGAAGTAGAGAAACAGACAGTTTCCTGCCTACGGAGGGCCTGGGGTGTGTGTGTGGGGAAGGCCTGTTTTTCTCTCTCCCCAGGCTCCAGAGCCTTTCTAGGAGCCTGAGGAGGGCGAAAATGGCCTTCCCCCACCCCCGAGGTTCTCTGGAGGCCAGAAATGGCCCGTTTGCCAACTTCCGGAAGAAAGGCTCTGGAGCCTGGGGAGGGCAAAAAATGGGCCTACTGGGCCCACCGTGCCATCGCATGCCAAAAGTGGGGGGAGCGCAAGGGGTCACGCACGCGCACATGCATGGGGGCAGGGCGCATAGAATTATGGGTGTGGGCACACGCACACGCTCCCTCCCTGCACTCCCCCCGCTTTTGGCACGCAATGGCAAAAAGGTTAGCCATCACTGGGCTAAGACATTCAAATTAAGCAAGTTCTAGCTTAACATTATCTGAGAACTAAGGTGTTACAGAATAGTCCGATATATACTGATGAGTACAAGTTGTCCTCTATATCATTAGTCAGGATGAAGAAAATGTTGCAATACATGAACACATCTTCTATTTCACTTTGTTTAACCTTGCAGATAGCAAGGAAGAGAATTCCAAAATACGGGAATGGCAACATTACTCATTTCGAATTGGCTTTTTCTCTGACAATATTGGTAATGATTATTATTGCAATGCTGATTTTAATTAAGGTAAGATAAAGTATTTTACTAGAGATCCTTGTATTAACTTATTAACCCACTGTAAAGTTGAGCGATCGAAGAGGCAGAAGCAAGGTAGTGTGTGACAACAGCTCTTTAATATAGTGTGTGAAGTGCAAAGATACAGTAACACAGCTCCCTTTATATACCTTGCTGGGCTGGGAGCTGACCAATCACAATTGACCTATTGTCTTTCAAATCTCCTGCCAAAACCATATACATTACACTCCTCCCCTCCCAGAAGGCACTCAGAGTGTATATTTGCATACAAAATCGTGCAGGTGACCAGGGCGTTCCCTACGCCTAGTTGACCTGCGCAGTTCAGTCTGAGGCGTGGCGTCGAGCTGGTCAGAGGGACGTTGTTTCTCCCAGCTCCGCCAATGGAACCTCCTGGATTACTTTGGGGGCGTTGATCTCTTCGGCTGGGGGAGGAATCTCGTTGGGACATCGCTGGACATCGAAGTTCCCAGATAAGTCTTCCGATCTCCTCGGGTTTGAGCTAACTGTTGTGGGAAGAGTTTGGTAGTTAGGGCTTGGACTTTGGATTTGCAGTTCTGGTTCGATGGCCAACCTTCTCCGGAGTTGATCAATATGCCTTCACCAGATCCTCCCATCTCCCATGTCTACGGTATATGACTTGGGGTCTTTGTTATCCGAAATCGTCCCAGCTACCCATAGGAGCCCATTCGTGTAGTTTCTGGCAAACACTGGTGTTCCTATCTGGAATTCCCTCAACTTCTTGTCCACCCCCTTGAACCCGTCTGGGGAATAGTTGGGGTGTCAGTCAAGAATGCACCGCAACCCTCTGTCCATCAGGAGCTTGGCCGGGCTGTGCCCTGTGGCTTTGCATGGTGTGGCATGCTGGACAGCCAGAAATTTATCTACCCTGGCCTGCCAGTCTCCTGCATCCAACCGTGAGAGTGCCTCTTTGGCCGTTCTCACGAACCTTTCAAACAGCCCGTTACTGGCTGGATGGAAAGGTGCAGAGAGTGCGTGCCTGATTCCCAACTCTGCTGGGTACCCCTCGAATTGGGTTGCGGTAAACTGGGACCTGTTGTCCAATACTAAGGTATCGGGAAGTCCATGGGTGGTGAAGAGCTTCCAAAGCACTTTGATTACTGCTTCGGAGGTTGTGGATTGCATGAGGATGATCTTGAGCCATTTCAAATAGGCATCGACGATCACTAAGAATGTTTGGCCATGAAAAGGGCCTGCGAAGTCTATGTGGATTCTCTCCCAGAGACCTTGGGGCCATTCCCATTCCCTGACTGGTGCTGTAGGGGGATCTGGCCTGGACTCTTGGCAGAGTTGACACTTCCCCACCTACTCAGTGATGATGTTGTCCATTCGTGGCCACCAAACATAACTCCTAGCTAACCCCTTCATCCTTACGATCCCGGGGTGCCCATCATGTAACATGCGCAAAACCTTTTCTCTTAAGCATAAGGGAACAACGACACAATCATCCCACAATAAACACCCCCCTTGCATAGACAATTCATTCCTCTTGGAGGCAAACAATTTAAATACCCCGCCTTCAGTCTTTCCCGGCCACCCCCTTGTGACCCAACTCATGACAGTCTTTTTTTTTTTAATTGAAAAGTTTTATAAGAAATACAAACAATTTTCTCCCCCCCACCCTTTCCCCCTCCCCACATAATAGAAAATGTACATTTTCTTATACATAATAAATCCTACATATACATGTTTCCCTTAAAGAAAGCATTAAAATAAGGCATTTTAATTACATTCGGAGTTGCTCTTCTTCTCTTTCTTCCCTCATTCCACAACAAACCTTCTTCTCCTCCTTTCTTTCCCTTCCCTCCCTCCTCTTCTCTCCTACTTTCTCCTTCCTCCTCTCCTACCTCATCCTACTTCCTTTTCCTTTCCCCCACTTCTCTCTTCTTTTCCCCCTTCTCACCTTCTCTCCTACTCCTGTCCCCTTCCCTTCCTCCTCTCCTTTCTTCCATTCGTCTCCCTCCCTCTCCTCTTCCTACCCTCTCCTCCTCTCTCCTTTCTAACTTCTTTGCTGTGGAATATTCTCCTCCTTTAGTATCTGAGCAACTCCTGTATTCTAATCGTAGATACTTTCTTTCAGTTTCTTTTCAGATTTATTCATTTATTCCCAACCCAACCTTTATCCCTCCCTCCCCACCCCCGACTTCCCAGGGCAAAAACAGGGTATTACATTTAACAAGCATAAGCTAAAATATACTAACCAACTACAGAGTTCAAAATACCCTCACACTCTTTAACTCCTCTTTTACAAATTCATCAACCTCCCTTTTATATCTTCCTAAATATAAAGACCTTTTTTGGATGTATAATCCAATAATTTTACAATATTACCAACATTAAAAATCATAGATAAGTTTCATTTCCTCAGCCTCAAACACCGTTCCTTTTCAGCATTACTCCCTAATAAAATTCTAAATTTAACATTTATCCTCTTTAATCCTTCATAAAATTGAACATTTTCAAACCTTAGACATTTTCTCTCATATACCTTTTAAGATACTATAATCTTATTTTAAACATTTTAAAAATCTCTTAATACATCAAAAAAACATTCTTAATTTATTTCACAATTAAATTTCAAAACCTGCAGGAAGATATCCTTCAAATTTTCACTTAACCATTTTAATACTTCCATAACTTTTAAAAAGCAATCGTTTTTATATCCAAAACTAATTGTAAGAAAACACTTCCTTTATATCATTGTTAGAATGATATATATCATCTTAGAATAATTAGAATAACCTTTAAAAATACCAGTTAATTAAAATTTTGAATTTATTACTAAAATCCTCCCCCCAAAAAGAATTAATCTTCTATTCTTCCCTTCTTTCTATATTTTTTCCAATCCTTCTTCTTCAATAATTCTTTCAGCATTGCTCCTCCCCCTAATCTTCTCTTCAAAAATTTTTGAATTTTGATGTGAGGTTGATGTATCTTGAAAACTCGCTCTCTTCTTAAAATCATTTTCTCTGGTTTAAGACCCCCATTTCGACTCCTCCTGTTTGTATAATCAATCATTTCATTCCTTTGTCTGTAAAACCAAGAGTTGTTGCCATAAAGTTTGTCAACTTGCAATAAAGAGTCTACTTGTTGGTTTTCTTTTAATTGAGTGGAAGCGTCTGTTTCAACCTCCATTTCCAGCCTGACAGTGTCTTTGTCCTCCGGAATCAAAATCCTCTGTTTAATTTCCTCCTATTTCTCAGCCAGCAAATCATTACAATTCTCCAAGCTACATTTTTGAAAAATTCTTTCAATTATTTCCAAAAGAACAGAATTAAAAGAGTCTAATAATTCTTGAAAAACCTTTACGGTCACAACTTGAGAATTTGCTGATTCACCAAACAGTGACTCTCCAGCCCAGATGTCAGCCATGTTTCAGTCTTCACTTTATATTTATTATTATTATTATTATAATTTTATTTCTATACCGCCCTTCTCCTGTGGGACTCAGGGCGGTGTACAGCCAAGATAAAACATTGCATATAAAATTTAAAAACAATTTAAAAAACAATTAAATAATTTCGGCCCAAGATATTAAAAACAACCCAATTAAAACCAAATTCAATTAAAACTGAGAGGATGGGATATTTATCCAGCTATCAGGTCGACAAATCCAACTATTTTCCACACAGTATGAAGGTATAAATTAATTGAGGTCAATACCAAGTTCTTTTCCATGCCGCTTCCACTTTAAATCTTTTTCTTAGGATGTAATCCAGTAGCTGTATCAATGTTACAAGCATTAACAAGCGTTAACAAGCACTTTCACTAGTAGCTTTTACTTACGCCCTTAGGCGCCATTTTCTGCATTTTTAAAAACGGAGTTAAAGTATTACTTGCATTTTTTTTCTTTTTTCTCCTGCTTTGCTCTGCCAGCACTCCAAGCCCAAATTTAAAATTGTGTTGCTGGAATGGTCGCGGCTTCTAGCTCCGCTTTAGCGGAGTCGTCCCAAGGTCCAGAGCAGATTGACAGGCTTCTAGGGAGCTTTCACCTTTCGCGCCCCAAGATTTCTCCTAGGGCGCTTGGGGGGCTCTGCCTCTGCCTGTCCGCTCTTCTCTCTCCCCTTTGCCTGGGGAGAGGGTTTCCAAGCCCCAGACAGCTGTTTTTCGGCTGTTCTAGGGCTTTTATGGTGCCGAGGCTCGGGCGCCCACAAAGGAGTGTCAGCGAAGTTCGCAGAGCCAACCGGAAGTCAGTCTTTAGAACAGAGTCCCGAGCCGAGGCTCTCGCCATTTTGGCAGAAGTGAGAGGTGCTGAGTCCAAAATGTCAATGAGTAGGACTGGTGCTCCCGGGGTTGAGTCTTCCAGGATGTCCGATAGCGGGCATCGGCTGAGGGCATTGGCATACCCCAAACTCAGTCTGGATTGGTAGGAATATGCTGCTAGAAAGATGGTCCAGCAAGTCATTCGTGGAGACAAGGCAGTGGGGGTGGCCGATCCCCTGCCAGGAGGCCCAAAAGTGGCCGGTGGTCCGTGACAAGTTCGAAATTCCACCCAAACAGGTATTCGTGGAATTTCTTTATTCCCGAGACGGGAGCTGGCTGTCCAGCTGGCTGTAGTTCCGCTCAGCACTGGACAGGGTGTGGGAATAGTAAGCGATGGGCGCCTCTAGTACATTTGATAGTCTGTGGCTCAGGACGGCCCCTACTCCAAAAGGGGACGTGTCACAGACTAGTACAAGTGGAAGCGTCACATTGTACTGGATGAGAAAACTGTCCGCTGACAAAAGTTTTTTCATGGCGGCAAAAGCGGCAGTCTCAGTCTTTCCCCAAACCCAGGGTGCATTTTTTGGCTAATAGTTTGTGTAGGGGTTCAGCTACCGTTGCCTTGTCTTGCAGGAATATGGCATAGAAGTTAAGGAGGCCCAGGAAGGCTTGTAGCTCCAACTTGTGTTGGGAGGTTGGCGCATTTTTGATGGCCCTAATCTTGCTTTCGGGGGGGGTGAATGCCAGTTCCGCCCACCCGGTACCCCAGGAACTCAACAGAGGGTACTGCTATCATACATTTGTTTCGCTTGACCCTGAGGCCAGCGCTTCTAAATTTGTCTAACACTAGCCTTAGTCAGTCCCCTAGTTGTTTCTCGTCTATGGCACTGATAAGGACATCGTCAAAATAGGGGACTACCCCTGGAAGTCCTTGTAACAGGCGCTCCATCATGCTTTGGAATAAGCCAGAGGCTATGCTGACTCCGAATTGTAGCCTAGTGCATTTGAAGGTACCTCTGTGAGTTATTATAGTCTGTGCCTCTGCAGTAGCACCATCTACTGGCAGTTGCTGGTATGCCTGCGCAAGATCAAGTTTAGCAAAGATTTTGCCAGGACCCAGCGAATGGAGTAAATGGTGCACGATTGGAATAGGGTAAATGCTCTGTTGGAGAGCCTTATTAATCATGCATTTGTAATCAGCGCAGATGCACACAGACCTGTCAGGCTTGATGGGTATTATGATAGGGGTCTCCCATATGGTGTGGTCTACTGGAACTAAGACCCCCTGTTTAATTAGTTTGTCCAGTTCCAAGTCTATCTTAGGCTTTAGTGCGAAGGGCACTCGTCTAGCCTTAAGTCGGATTGGGGCTACATTAGGGTCTAGATTAAATGAGATAGGGGTCCCCACGTACTTGCCAGCTGGTTGTCGAACACGTCCTGGAACTCTTGCATCAGGTTGTCTCTCAGGCTGCTGCCACTCCTTGCTGGCTCGCCACTTGCACTGTGGACTCTGGTGAATCCCATTCCAAGGGCCTTAAACCAGCCCAGACCCAGGAGGCTCGGTAGATGCCCGCTGACCACGGTGAGGGGAAGCTTCTTTCGGTGCTCTCCATACTCAACCTGGAACGTGCCTACTTCTTCCACAGGGATGTGGTTTCCTTGGTAGTCCCGAAGCCGCTGAGGCTGTAGTTGACCCTTCTTCAAGCTGGGCATCGCCGCTTTCAGGGTGGTCCAGGACATGATGGATAGAGATGATCCGGTATCGATCTCCATTTCGCAAGGGCTCCCCTCTATCTCCACCATGGTGTGGACTTTCTTTTTGGTCTACATGCTGGCTTGGCCGACCCTGGTGCTGCAGGTCTCATGATTCCAGAAGTTCGCACCCTTTTTTGAATCACCATCTTTGTTGGTCCTCTTGTGCCGCACCGGCTCTGATTGGCTGGCTCCGCTCCTTTGCTTGTGGTTGGATGATAGACTCGCCCGGCAGACCCTTGCTAAATGTCCCCTTTTGTCACAGTGCAAATGGCGCCCTTGAACTTGCAATTCTGTCATTGATGGGAACCTCTGCAGCTCGCACAGTTCTCTCGACGCTCTTTCTGCTCCCTTTTGTGCCTTTCTGTTTGGAAGACGTCTTTGTTGGACTCTTCCTTGTTGTCGGTCTGGGTTGCCTCGCGGTGCACCCGTGTTGACCTTGACATCGCTTGCAATGGTGCTGGCCGTTTGCAGGGTCTCTGCAGCCTTGGTGGAGGATTCGTGTGCTCTTGCCTCGTCAAGAGCGATGTGGAGCATTAGATTGGACCTGGCAAGCAGTCTTCTCTGTAGGGGAATATCTCTAACACTGCAGATTAGTTGCTCTAGGAGCGCATCATCAAGGTCTCGGTACTCACAGTGCGTCGCTCCCTTGCTCAGGGTGGCCATGTAAGTGCTGATCGGTTCGCCTTCTCGCTGCAGCCATTGCCGGAACTCGTACTTCTGGATGAATTTGGAGGGTACCAGGGCGTAGTGGGCCTTCAGTGAAGCTAGCAAGGCCTGCCACGATACCGTCTGGACCAGGGTCGGTTCCGATAGCAAGTCAGCCATGTCGAAAACCTCTGGTCCACAGTGGCTCAGGAATAGTGCTCGCTTCCTGTTGTTGGAGAGGCCCGTAGATTGCTGGCCTCCAGGAAACACTCGAACCAAGCCATATATGACCCCCACTTCTCTCTGGCTGGATTGAAAGGCGTTAGTGGTACATACGCAGACATCGTGGTAGTCCTGCTCTGTATGGGGCTCGTCCGCCTGGCTGAATCCGTCGTTGTCAGCTCTTTCTCAGCTTGCTTCTCGTTGTCTCAATCCCACCTTCATCGGCAATGTTAAATTGGGCGATTGAGGAGGCAGAAGCAAGGTAGTGCGTGACAAAAGCTCTTTAATATAGTGTGTGACTTTAGCAAAGATACAGTAACATAGCTCCCTTTATATACCTTGCTGGGCCAGAAGCTAACCAATCACAATTGACCCATTGTCTTTCAAATCTCCCCCAAAACCATATACATTATACCCACTATATCGCAAAGCCCAGTAATGAATAAATAAACTTTTCCAACTTTCAAAATATTGCTTTCGTGAAGAGCTAACATTTCCTTAAACATTAACTCAGGGAGATCACAGTCCTGCAGCAGGATTTAATATAATACATTCAACCTCAAAGAGCCACAGCAGATGTGACAGTGACATAGCAACATCACAAGAAAGGGTGGGACTGGTTTTTCTAAAATTATTGGTGAGGGGGTCAAATAGAGATAACTAAATGGGTGTGTAGAGTTGGATTCATTTCACCTCCAAGTCCAATAGGGAACTTTGGGTTGGTAGGCTTGATTTGGTCCATAAGACCTTCTTATGAGGCTTATCAAACCATGTTGGAGACCGTGGACCTTTTTACGCACAGAAGATGGAGAAAAGGAAGAGTTTCTTACTGAGAAACAGAGAAAAAAACATTATTCTCTAGCCAATCGTTGATTCTTTTTCCTCGCTGTGAAAAATCTTTACATTTATCCCTCACAATCACATCTCTCTTTTTGGATTAAACAGATCTATTGTCAACGAACTGCCAAAGGACTGGAAGGGACCCCTCTGGAAAAACGGTAACTCTTGCCTGGAGATACTTAGTTATTTGCAACTCTCTGCTCTGAAAATCCTCTTTATGAGGACCAGTCTCAAGATTTTTTGGCAAAGCACCTGTGAGTTTCACTTTTAAAAACAGGTTTTAGTGCACAGTAAAAGTTGAAAACACTGAGAACATGGCTGAATTATCTGTTTTTTTGCTGGCTGAATTTGTATGTAAAGCATTGGCTTCCTGTTATATTCCTCAACTGGTACTATATGTTCCCCTCTCGTCTTGGCAACTTTAAACTATTTTCAGTGCTGAACAAACATTAAACTTGAGATTGCCAGGTGGGCATGCATGCTAACAAAGCCAAAAATAAGTAAAGCCCCAAAAAGATGCATGGTTACCTGCAACATGTACTCTTAATCTTTGGAGACAATTGCAGGTGTGTGCTTCAGCATACCAGGCACTTAAGCCTTCTACTGCCTGCACACTGCTTGTACATGCACAGAAGACTCTTGTGACTGAAAAGGCCTTTTTGACTCCAGTTTGAGAAATGGAAATAAATACATCTTTCATTTAAATAAGAGTTTGTATACTCCGCCACAGAAATGTATGCCATACAGAGGTGGGTTTCAGCAGGTTCTGACCAGTTCTGGAGAACCGGTAGCGGAAATGTTGGGTAATTTGGGGAACCGGTAGTAAAAATTCTGACTGCCCCCCCCCCACCTATTCTCTGCCTCCCAAGTCCCATCTGATTGGGAGGAAATGGGGATTTTGCAGTAACCTTCCCCTGCCACACCCACCAAGCCATGCCCACCAAGCCATGCCCACAGAACAGGTAGTAAAAAAATGTGAAACTCACCACTGATGCCATATTTTGTTTGCACATTGCCAAAGGGTTCTTATCCAGGCTAAGATCTCACTATTTTTCTTTTTAATTATTTGTTTAAGGACACCTCTGGATAGAATGGAGAAAGGTACACTTGAAAAACAGGTCTGTAAATGCAGAAGCAACCACTGGTGATCTGCTACTTAGTTGTCTTATTGGATCTGAAAAGCATGGCCCCACATTTCCAAAAGTATTACAAATATGGCTTAGGAAAGCCTGAATTAAATAATAATAATAATAATAATAATAATAATAATAATAATTATTATTATTATTATTATTATTATTATTATTATTATTATTATTATTATTATATTTGCAAATTTGGATTTGCAAATTGAAGTTGAGCGACTGTGGAAAAAGAAATCGTGTGTTGTCCCGATTGTAATTGGAGCCCTTGGAGCAATACCCAAAGGGCTACCCCGCTATTTAGAAATTCTAAATTTGGCGGACTTGAGCATTTTGACTCTACAAAAAACCACCTTACTCGGAACAGCTTACATCCTCCGACGATACCTTAACAGTTCCTAGGTCCTTGGTTAGGACTCGAGCTGCTGAGCTATTAACCAGCCTCAAAGGCTGTGAATCTCACTAAAGATTAAATAATAATAATAATAATAATAATAATAATAATAATAATAATAATAAAAATGAAAATGTGACAGGGTGGTGGGTTTTTTAAAATTTTGCAAACCCCCAGGAATCACTTATTTGTGAGTCGGACAGTTACATATATTTGTTAAATAGATAGATGATAGATAGCTAGATGGTTAGCTGGTTAGCTGGATGGATGGATGGATGGATGAATAATAATCCTGTCATTTTGGGAGTATATTAAACTCAATGAGGCTTACTTCTGAGTACATAGATGTTAGGATTGTGTTGCAGTGTTTGACAACTGATGTCTAGAGCCATCTGTTATACTCTCTGTACTGTTCCTGTTTTAAAATTACTTCTGTTTTGAAGTCATCTAAGCCATCACTCCATTTTGACAGTAATGTGGATAAAGATGGCAGCTTCCCAGCTGTTGCTCCTGAATTTGCCAGTTTCCCCCATTTCTCACCATTTGTTCTGGATCCTGTAAGAAAATCAGTTGCCTTCAGGAACAGGAGGCACCCTTATTTTTTGCTCATGTAGAAGTAACTCAGAACCACTCTAGCTTCTCTGTGTAGAATGAGAAGATGGCCATTGTAATAGTCAATGGTTTTGAGCCCAGCCTGCCCTACACCTGTGATTTCTAGATGACTGACAATTTCAAATATCCAAACATATGCTAGATCATTTAGAAAAAAAGCAGTATTTTGAATCATTTTGAAAGACATTTTTATGACATACTGTAGTTCCCACATTGTGCCAAACAGTGGATGATCAGAACATTATTTCTGGAATATGTCACAATTATTATTCGTATGGAATCTTTTCAGAAGAAAATTTTTGCTACAACCAGTTGTAACTTAAATATAACAAGATTAACAAACATGGTTTGTGGAGGTTTTGTACACTGTAAACATCTTTTCCAGCTCTTTCAAATCTATAAACTTGAAAAATTGTGTGCATGAAGCAAAGCTAGTCTTTTGAAAAGATCCCATTGGAATAATAGTGATGCACACAATAGTGATGCACACAACTCACTTAAACCAGAGTTGTATCAACCAAATGAATTTGGTTCATTTGGGTAGAACAAGAAGCAATGGGTGGAAACTAATCAAGGAGAGAAGCAATTTAGAACTAAAGAGAAATTTCCTGACAGTTAGAACAATTAATAAGTGGAACAACTTGCCTGCCGAAGTTGTGAATGCTCCAACACTGGAAATTTTTAAGAAGATGTTGGATAACCATTTGTCTGAAGTAGTATAAGGTTTTCTGTCTGGGCAGGGGGTTGGACTAGAAGATCTCCAAGGTCCCTTCCAACTCTGTTATTCTATAATTGATAAAAGCCTCATTCCCAAACAATATTAAGGCATACATTTCTTTCATAGATCATAACTAAATAACACATATTAAGCCCAAGACCACTTGCAAAGTTTAGGAATGCTAGGCCTTGGGAATACTTTTAACTACAGCTACTAACTACTAAGCTTACTGGCTACTAACATTAATTGGCAGAAGTACAAAATATGTTCCAGGATTCTCTACCATAAGAGATAAAACTAGTGTTTGTCTAATTGGACACCTAATCAGGAGTTAACAATTACTCTAATTTGCTAGCCACATATTCCTTCAGCTAAAGCCTCTATTCCAGGAACTGGAATTTGAGATACAAATAAAATGATAATGCAATGCAAAAATTAAAATCTCAGACTGAAATTTTATGATCATTTTTAATATTCTTTCCTCATTCTCAGACTTCAGCATCATCATTTGAAAAACCTGTTTGGTTTAAAGATATGTATCAACCTATAGAGGAAGTAAATAAAAAAGGCATGATTAATAAATTACATGATGAAGAGTCCTCAGAAGTGTCCTCCGAAGAGGAAAACATATATACATGGGCTAGCGCAAGGTATTGTTTCTTCTCTTCTCTTTTCTTTTCTCCTCTTCTATTTTTCCTTTCCTTTCCTTTCCTTTCCTTTCCTTTCCTTTCCTTTCCTCCCCTCCCCTTCCTTTTCTTTTCTTTTTTTCCTTAGCACATATTACAAGAAAAAAACTGAAAAAATATGAGCATGGTGATCATGATGCATTCAGTCGTGTCCAATTCTTCTTGATTCTATGGGCCAGGTTTCTCCACATCTTCTGATCTTGTCTGCTCTGGCTAATGTCAGGTTTGATGGTGTCCAGCCACTGTATTCTTTGATGGCCTGGCATCCTTTTACCACTACCTCTTCCAATATATCTTTGCTTTCTCCAGTAAATGCCCCTGCATGACAAGTAAAATTACAGAGAGAATAGTCCCATTTTATGAGTTAGAGAACATTTTTATTTTTTTCATTACAAAATTCTTTGGGCATATTTGGATTTGTCCAAATTTATATTATCGCAATGCACTTTACATGGAGCTGCCCTTGAAGATCATTTCAAGTGCCCTTGAAGGCAACTCAGATGCTACAACTGATCCAAAAAGCACCAGTGCATCTGCACTATTGGATGTTCCTATGTTTGCCCATGTTATACCTCTGTTGTATGAGCTGTGCTGTCTTCCAGCTTTCTTCTGGATGTAATTCAAGGTGCTGGTTGTCACCTTTAAATCCCTACATGGCAGCGACCAGGATATTTGCAAGGTCATTTCTCCCTGCCCATCCTACCACTCAAATAGGGTGGGGACGCTCCAGGTCCCTTCCCTGAAGTCTTGCCCTCTAGTGGAAGCTTGGAAGTGTGCCTTTTCCTGTGGCTACCCCTACCTTATGGAATACTTCCCCCCAAAAGATTTAGCAAGCCCTCACTCTTTAAGCCTTTTGGAAGGCTGTCAGTACCTGTGCTTTTATCCAGGTGCAGGGATGGAAAAAGAATATCTGAAACTGATGGTGGTACATCCCAAGGGGATGACTGAGAAGATTGGTTTTCGTTTTCATTTTGTGGTCTTATAGTTATTGGTTTTTCTGTTTTTCTTTATTTATCAGACCTCCACAAATCCCTGAGCTTCTTCCCGTGGAAAAACTGTAAGTAACTACATGTGCTACAAAAGGGTTACTAATATTGTTTTCCTGTTTAAACTTTCAAGCACCATAGCAAGCCTTCTGCATTTTTGTTGAGAGGAAATTATTAGAAGTTCTTAGAGTATTGTTTCCAACCTAATTTTGTAACTGAGCAGAGTTAAAGGTATTGTAAGAATAAATTATGGTACTTCATTGAATTTTGTAATTTTGAATATATTAGGTATTTTATGCTATGTCTATAGGGGCTTATGCCCTGCAATAAAGTATTTCATTTCCAAATGTAACTATATTTGCCTCATATTTTAGCAAGTATAAAATTAAATTAACATTTTAGAAACAGCCACAATTGATAGAGATCCAGATTGGTGCCATGGTTTAGGCACCAAGAGAGAAACCAAGAGATGGTGATTTCTAGTCTCACCTTGGGCATTATGCCAGCTGGGTGACCTTTGAGCAGTCACTCTCTGGGAAGGAGGGAATGGCAAACCACTTCTGAAAACTTTCCAAGAAAACTGCAGGGACGAGTCCAGGCAGTTCTCAGGAATGAGCATCAATATGAAGACTCGCACGCAAATAAAGATTGTTAAATCAATAAATCTGCCCCACAACTTTATTTAAATCCCCCAGAACCTGTTAACCTAGAGCAGCAAGGGTGCAGAACCAATTAAACAAACATCTGGGTGAACAGATGTGCCTTCAACTAGTAAAAGCTTTCAGGCTCAATATCAGTTCTAAAGGAACTGCAATAGAAGACCTTTATGTTTGGATCAGCAACAAAACCAAAACCAGAGACCCTATTTTGTTCAGTAACAAATACCTATTTATATTGGCTAAAATGAGTTTATTATTTTATTGCATCTTCTCCTATAGGATTGTTAACAGGAGATCTTGAGATGTAGAAGAGGCAGAAACATTTTTCAGCTAATCCGCTTCTGGTACCAATGCTAAGGAAATATTTGTTTATGTTTTTATTTGTTCGATATATGTTTTACCATTTTTTTCTTGTAAACTCAAGATGGCATATAGGAGAGTCCTGTGAGGTAGGTTTATCCCAGGAAGTGACTGGCGCCAAATCACTCAGAGGACTCCATGACATTTGTGGAGATTTGAATGTGGGTCTCCCCATACCTGGTCCAACAGTTTAACCCAGTTATCATTTAATTTAATTAAGAGCCTTGGTGGTGCAGTGGACTAAAGTGCTGTTAAGTGCTAGCACTTAGCTGCCAGCTGCCTGCAATTAGTGCAAGTTCGAATCTCACCAGACTCAAGGTTGACTCAGCCTTCCATCCTTTCGAGGTAGGTAAATTGAGGACCTGGATTGTGGGGGCAATAAGCCAACTTGGGGGGGAGGGGGCGAAAGCCCTAATAAGCAAGTATATACAAAAAAGTATGCAGGCTATTGCTATAATGCATTGTAAGCCACCCTGAGTCTATGGAGTAGGGCAGCATATAAATTGGACTAATAAAAAATATATAAATTGGACTAATAAATTCCCACTCTCAACTATGAATTAAGCAGAATGAGGTGAAGCAGAATGAGAATATGAAGCAGAATGACAATACATGAAATAAATAAATGTGTATAAGAATCAAAGGCTTGTGGGGGGAGAAGAAAAGTCTGCTTAGACATTTTGGAAAAGCTGGACTTGAGATGCAATGAAGGTGAGACTTGTGGTGCACAAATGCATTCTCTAACATGCAGGCAACACCTGGGTTTTGCAGCAAAGCCATCTTGGGATGCTCATAAGCAATTACATTATTTTCTCCCTTTAGAGAAAATGTGAAATGCTGGGTTCACATAAGGAAACAAAAGAGTACAACTTTTATCTTTATAAACCTATTGAAACTTGGATTAATCACTGTTTCTATTTTGTCTTCTAGAGATCTAATGCCACCAGCACCAGAACCAGAACCAGAACCAGCACCAGCACCAGCAGCAGTAGAAGCTGAAGCTCCGGCTCCGGCTCCGGCTCCGGCTCCAGCTCCGGCTCCGGCTCCAGCTCCAGCACCAGCACCAGCACCAGCTCCAGCTCCAGCTCCAGCTCCAGAGCCTGTTAAAAAGGCTAGTTCAAAGAAACTGTGAGTATCTACAGCATTATGTGTGGGATATTATTTATTTACTTGAAGATACATCCACTAATTCATTGAATTTATGAAAGAGCCATGGTAGCGCAGTGGTTAAAAAGCAGTATTGCAGGCTAGCTCACTGCTCACTGCCATGAATTCGAGCCTGACTGGCTCAAGATTGACTTCACCTTCCATCCTACTAATGTCAGTAAAAAGAGAATTCCAATTGTTGGGGGTAATATACTGACTCTATAAACTGCTTAGAGAAAACTGTAAAACACTATAAAGCGATATAGAAGTCTTGGTGCTATTGAATTTATAAATGTTATTTCTATAAAATGGTTATGCTTCATAGTTGCTATACTAAGAGAGGGCTCTTGAAATTCCAAGCCCTGATCTATAGGCAAGCAAATTGGATAAAATGATATTTTGTTTAATTTGTCAAGAAGAAAAAAATTCTCCAATAGATTGGAGCCCATGCTAGCCATGTTCCAGAGGACAATTTATCTACAGCAGAATTTCTCAATCACAGGACCTTTAAGACATGTGAATGTCAACTCCCAGAATTTCCTAGCCATGCTTAATATTAATGTCTTAAAGTTCCTGAGGTTCAGAAAAACCAGTCTAAAACTTCCTTCTGTTTTAAGAAGTTTGAAAACAAATGAGCCATCCCCTCTTCCCATCCTTTAAGGACACAAGTTTAGCCACAGAAGATTCCTTTTTAATCTCTGTTCTGTTAAAATGTTTGTCTGTTCTTTGTCAGGTCTGAAGAGACGCCCACTAGTGAAGCCACTCCAGCGACTGAGTGAGTAGTACAGTCTGTTCTTTAACATAACTTTTTTCCTCCAAGATACTTCTACATGAGACATTTGTTTAAAACAACATCTAATTTATACTGTGATTATTGCAGTTTCATTGTTATTGAAATTAACAAATCTACACACCCAAAAACCTTTGCATATACAAACTAAATATAAAATACACTGCCTACAGAATTTTAATATCCTAATTTCTCCTGCACTGGTAGTGTAAATTCATCACAAAAAAAATTTTTAGTAGCTGAAATATTTCAGCTTCTAAGAGCATTTTGAGTTACAAATTCAGATCGGGGGAAGCAGAACTAGGAAGCAGAGGATGCTCTGTCAGGAATAAATGCCTTGCCTCAGACCCAGGGCTAGAGGCAGGGGGGCTGGACAAGCCAGCCCCCAAGGTCCACCCTAACCCAATAACCCCTCCTTACCTTAGCCACGCCCAGGGGGTACTTAAGGGTCAGCCATGCGATCCTGTACCAGTTCCAGATCTGTACCTGTAATGATAAGATGCTTTGTTAATAAATACTACTTGATTTGATGAATACCTGCTTGCTGGAGTTATTGGGCGTGATCCTTGAACACCTTTAACAATATGGTAGCAGAGGATGGTTTAACAGCCCAATTCTAATACTCCAGAACATGCAAAGGACCACAACAGACAGGGTGAACACCAGGGCATTCACCAAGAAGATGGCAGAACGGCCTGCCCAACCCGAAGACACGCAAGGAGAGGCACCCAAAATGAGCGGCCTACTCCACCACCCATGCACCCCGACCAGATGCGACGAGGGGTGGAAGGAACACGAGAGCCCGACAGGAGAAATGCATGACCTAAAAGGAAAACTTCTGAAGCTGATAGACTAGTCACAAAGCAACACCGATCTCATCGCGGAACTCCGAAGCCTGGTCAAAGGCTGCAAAGCAGCGAGTGAGGAAGATGAAGACGAGTCCGACTACAGCGACGAAGACGCGGTAAGAAAGGACTGCCCCCACCAGAAACCCACCGAAAAGGCCAAAGAAGAATTCGCGCCTTTTTTACGGTGGCCATCTTGGGAGGTGACGTCACCAAAGATGGCCGACCAACCACCAATAGATTCCCGAGATTTAAATCTCATGGCGGGAATCGGGGCCTACACCCAAAACTACCACAACAAACAGGAAAGCCCCAAGCCTAAACCTACGGGCCCGCCTACCGAGCCCGAGGCCAACCAAGCAATCGAACTAATCACCGCGGCCCTAGGGGACAAAATGAAGCTACCAGACACACACCCCGGTGCCAAGCCAAAGCGCAAAGGGGACCCTAACGCGAGGAGGGCCAGCACCGGAGCCCACCCAGGGGAGCAGATCGCCACCGCGCAGACCCAACACTACCCAGGACTCCCAGGAAGCCCACCCATAGGAACGGGACACCGAGGGTGATGGGACCACTCACCGGACCGACGACCGGGACCAGGTCCAGGACTCGCGGGACCATCCGCAGGCAGGGGACATCTATCGGCGGGCAGGGGACTCGGCCCGACACCCGGAGGCGACACCCACGTGAGGCCGGGCCATCCGGGACCATTCGCGGCCCCAGCGGGACTTCCGACCTTCCCCAGCAATCCTCACCGCTTTTCGAGGCTCCAGACGGCGATCCGCGACGACTTTGACCAAGCGAGGCCGACCAAGGAAGAACCGAAGGTCCATCCGGAAGATTGGGGCCTTCACCCGGGAGCCGCCGAGACGAGCTCCTCACTCAACGGCGGCTGGACTGGAATGAACTTCAGGCATGCGCAATGCCTCCCTGCAAGAGAAACGAAGCGAGACATAGAGCTATAGCGATGCAAGCACATAGAAGCAAGTCAGTTCAGACTTGCCACAGTCATCCCCCTGCCTTATTGCGATCATCCTCATGTGAGGAACCATGGACAGCGACACAATGTAAGTAATTTAACTTACAATTCAGGGACTTTGCCAAGTGACTTTCCCAAACTAAGACTAGATGGAGAGAATTTCCTGGACTGGAACCAGCAGCTCCAAGTCACCCTGCTGAAGGAAGACCTATTATCCCTAGTCACTGATCCCCCAGAAAAACCCTGGACTTTTGAATTAGATTGCACTCACCATAAAGCATATTATATTGTTATTGCTAGCATTACCCCCAGCATTTACCCTAGCATTAGCCACCACTTAACTGCTCTAGAGGTAATACAGAGGATGCACAAACTATTTTACTGTCAAAACGTAGCAAGCACCACTAGACTATCCAGAGAGTTCTATGCCACCAAACTCAAAGCAGGGACCCCAATGAGCGAGCATTTATTGTCCCTAAATGGCACCAGGGCCCAGCTGACCCAAAGGGGGGAGGTCATAAGTGAAAGAACCATGATAAGCATTATTGTGAATTCCCTAGACCCCAGCTGGGACACCTTCATCACACAGATAGACAACCTAGGGTCAGGGAAACTCACACTAGAATTACTAACAAACAAACTCATAGCTGAAGACAGCATCAGGAAAGACCGCTCACTAAGCCGCAGGGAGCAGAGACCCAGCAGAAGGACTGAGCCACAGGGTAGGAGCCACAGTAACACAGAGTGCTACATATGTGGGTCAAAAAACCATTACAAAAGGGACTGCCCTAGAAACGCAGGGGACAGGGAGAAGGTCACACCGAAGGGACAGACCAGAACAAAGGGCAAGATACAGTGACAGACGCTCACCAGAGGACAGACACAGGCGCAGAGACTCCCCTAGCCCCAGGGACAGAAGAAATCACAGGGACAACTCCAGGGAGAGCCAGACTGGGTCACTGTATGGACTGGGAGATCAAGAACAACACAAAGATCAGGACAGGAAGGAAGGCACATGGCTACTGGACTCAGGAGCCACAAACCACACCACATATGACCGTAACTCACTAACCTCATTCACAGAAGAAAACTTTATAATAAAAGTGGCTAACCAGAACAATGTGCAAGTGACAGGGAAGGTAACGCATACGTGCCAGGGATAGGGATAATACAGGAGGTGCTATTAGTGCCAAATATACCCTATAATATCCTTGCCACACTAAAACTGAGCAAGGACAACAATGTCGAGGTGACATTCAAAGAAGGAAAGGCACATGTAACTAGAGGGGGTAAAAGCATAGGGAAAACAGTGATCAGTGGGGACCTGCCATTTTTCCACCCAGTCAGAGACACACAACCCAAGGTAAACAACCACCGGAAAGCAAAACCCAACAACCCAGACAACACAAGTGAGGAAGCAGAGGGGGTCAGCCACACTCACACCACTAGTGACTCAAGTGAGCAGGGGACATCTAGGAAGGAAAAGCCAGCGATAGGGAAGCTAATGCATGACAACTGTGCACACCTATTACACAGAAAACTACGGCACATCAGCTTCCCTGTGGTACAGAAAATGATGGAATGCTCCGAAGGTGTAAAAATAAAAAATTGTGAGAACTATCTTGAGTGTTCTATTTGTAAAAGCTCCAAATTAAGAACCAAACCCAGGCCCAAAAAGTCAGTACGCACGACCAATTCAATCTTCCAACTCATACATATGGACCTAGTGGGGCCACTAAGGCCCTCCATCAAATACAGGAAGAGGTTCTTCCTGACCATAGTGGATGATTTCAGCCGCTATGGCTTCGTGTACACTCTAAAGCACAAAAACGAGGTATTCCAAAAATTTAAGGAATTCTATGCAAGGGTGGAAACACAACATAACACTAGGATCAGACAAATAATGACAGACCGGGGGTCTGAATTCTTGTCGAGCGACTTCTCGCGATGGCTGAAGGCACGCGGGATAGTACATTACACGACTTCGCCGTTCTCCACCTTCCAAAATGGCGTCGCAGAACGAAAAAACGGAACACTGCAGACCATGATGAGGTGCGCACTAGAGGATGCCGGTTTAGGGCAGCACTTCTGGTCAGAAGCGCTCATCTATTCAAACTACACGTTGAACAGACTATGGTCCAGCGTACTGAATAAAACTCCATATGAGTTGATGTACCAAAGAAAACCACAGGTGTCACACTTACATATATTCGGGGTCACAGCAGATGTGCACATCCCCAAGCAATTGAGACACAAGGGAGACAAAGTATCCAGAAGGTTGAGGTTCATGGGATACGAACCAGGGATGAAGGGATACAGATTCATAGACAGCAATAACAGGTTTGTGGTATCACAAACAGCTGTCTTCCACGAAAATACCAACTGGTCCAAGATACACCTCAACGAGGTGTCCCTTAGCAAGGAAGGACCAGGGGATGGCCAAAAGGAGATATGGCATAACACAGGAAAGGACACAGAGCAGGAAAAGGGCAAACCCAAGAGACAGGAAGTACAAGTGAAGGAGTGGAAGGAGAACCACCCATGCATCAAAGTGGACTCACTCACAGAGAAAGAAGCTAGGTATCTACATGACACCGAGACACCCCCTGCCAGGCCATTCAGGGCAAACAGGGGCAAAGCGCCAAAAAGGTTAGGGGACTACGTGTTATCCCTCCACACTAACCAATTAACTCCCAACACATATGAGGATGTGCTGAAATTACCAGAGGGAGAAAGAGCAAAATGGGAACAAGCCATGGAAAGGGAAATGAACAGCCTGAGGGAACTAAACGTATACACCCCCTCTGAAGTCCCAGCAGATAAAACGCCCATAGGCACCAGGTGGGTCTACAAAGTCAAAACATTAGAGGGAAATAAAGTCCTCTACAAGGCTAGACTGGTGGCACAAGGGTTCGCTCAAAAGTACCCTGATGATTACACTGAGACATACTCCCCCACAGTCAGGGCTGAGAGCGTAAAATGTGCGTTGGTAATTGCATCACTACTTGGGCTAGAAGTACACCAATTCGATGTACAAACCGCTTACCTGCACGCTGAGCTCGACAAGGAGATATACGTGAGAGCGCCACCTAGCCAAAGCACCAGGAAGGGGGAAACCTGGGTCCTGAACAGGAGCTTGTATGGACTCAAACAATCGGGGA